ACCTGCGAACATGGGAAAATTGAAATTCGAACATTAACAAGGAAACGTGTATTATAACATGTAACGTGTACAATAACTAATAATATCTCAAGGGTAAAGATGAATCGGTGGTACACTTCGTAACGTTGAGACCAACTGATTCGTAGTGATAAGATAATCGACATGCGATCATCGATTCCCCGTATTTATCGCATATATAAGAAAGACGGAAGTACAGAGATAATCGTAGTACGCTGATCGAATTAAAGACGCAAGAAACTTAACATGACGATCGCAAGAGTCCTACTGATCACCTGTCTGATCGGGATCTGCCTTTGGGAGGTCCATAGCCATGGGATGATGCTGGACCCTGTTAGCAGGAGCAGCGCCTGGCGGAAAGGGTACCCCGTTGAGCCAAATTACGACGACAATGCTCTCTACTGTGGAGGAAGACAAGTAAGGGCGTTATTAACACTAAAACTGTTGTACGAGTCGACATGACTACCTTCGGAAATCTTATCTGTACAATCTAGAGTAAAACGATTCTACGTGAAAAAGTAAAGCGAAAAAGGTAGAATGAAATTTTTTCATATGTGACCTTGTTTGCGAGAAAACTGACTTTGAACATTCGTTGATTTGCGGTGGTTGTACGTAACCAGGTTTGCAGACTGATGGATGGTGGTTGTTCGTGATGAACAGAGAAAGATTGTAGGACTGACACAGAGTAATTAGTTTTGTTGAAGATGTTTCTAGACACGTAATCAGAGATATTAGTTTCAGCGAAATCCGTTCAGTCGAAATGAATTTACTCGCGTGCTTATCGCGTAGATATTTAGAGCTGATTTTCTCAAAAATAGAGCCTTGTATGAAAAAATGTTACTCTATTTTTTTGACGTATTTTTTAGCGTGGAATCATCCCCTTGCTTATTGTATCACTAGTGATGTAAAGAAATCGATGAAATACTAAAATCTGTAACTGTATACATAATACCTTTCTACACGGAGTACTGTTGCAAGTGCAACACGCTCGACACGGATGTAGCAGGCAAGTCTAAGCACAGGCGTTTGACTATGATCAAATGTCGAAGGAGACGCAAAGCAAAACCAATCGTCCCGCTTTAATCCATTCGTTTCGTATCGCAGATTCAATACGAACAAAACCATGGAAAATGCGGCCTTTGTGGTGATGATTACGCCTTACCTCAACCCAGGCCAAACGAGAACGGTGGTATTTACGGAACCGGCGTGATCGTCGAAAAGTAAGCCTTCATTCGCATTCATTCACCTGGGACTTCCTTCACACGGTAAAAGTGAACCGCTTAGAAAAAGAAATTCTTGAAAATATCAATTGGCAACGAAATATGAAACTTGTTTTAATCCTTCGCACTCTCGTCGCTTCCTTCTCGTAATAACCTCGAACACTTTCCACTAGAAAAATAACTAAGGTCATTATACAATGAAAATAAATTTCCAGACAGGTATACTTCCTTTTCTTTGAGAATAAAATTTTTCTATCCGGAGCTTCTCGCTATAAGAGTGTATTAGCGTTACTAATCGAGAAAAAAGTGTGACGAGTTGAAATCCGTGAACTGCTGAAAAAGTATATCATTAGATAAGTGATTATACGAAGGTAGACAAGTACCGTGCAAAAGAAGACCCAGTGTATCTGCTATTTTTCTCTTCCTTCCACTAGCGACAGTGTTTGGTGTATTGAAACGTGGATCAAATGATCTCACGAGCAGCCGTATTAACCTGCAATCGACTTTGGCGTTTCAGATACAAAGTACACCAAAATATCACGGTAAAGGTGAAACTCACGATGAACCATATGGGAACGTTCACATTCGACCTCTGCCCTCTGGAAAAACCATCCGACCTGGAAACCGAGGAATGCTTCAGTCGCTATCCTCTACGAGTCAACGGTCGCTACACTGTGCCAGTACCTAACACGAAGATGGACTTCGATCTTCCAATCGAGCTGCCAGAATCCCTCGTTTGCAACCAGTGCGTGCTGAGGTGGACCTATCGAGCCGGAAACAACTGGGGAAATTGTGGCGATGGCAGACAGGCTTTGGGATGCGGACCACAGGAAACCTTCAAGAACTGTGCAGATGTCCAGATCTCTTCCTAAACGACCAGCCGGGCTACGAATAAGTGGACCACCTTCTGTCTTGAATATCCGTCTGAAAAAGAGAAACCTGTTACGTTCTGCTCAATAACAAATGTACCGCCGTAACGTTAATTAATTAGAGAAGATTAGTCACCTAATTACAAAAGCGTCGTTATTTCACCTGGTCCATGAGGGTCCAAGAACCGTCAAAGTTTATCGGTACTTCCTAGACCTTGCGAGGGTCTCAGGAAAGATCGTTGAGATAACGTGTGTATCATAGTTGAGATCAGCCGAGTGCCGAGATTCACCAGTCGCTCGATGCTCGAGATTAGATAAGAGTACGTGTGCGGCACGATCGGCCAAGCTGGACTACAAAGCACTAGAAAAATATGTTTTCCTCGTTACTCCTTTATCCATTCGTGTATACCCCGCGTGCATCGCGTCACGCAAAGACACTCGACTGTGTTCAATCCTCTCGGAGTATCTTTATTCCTCGACCTTGTTTCCACTGGTCGGTCTCGCGCGTTATTAATGTAAACGACGAGCAGGAGAAAGGCTGGAAGGGAAACTCGTATACTCGGGAATCGTGAAGGATTAGCGTTTTCTGAACGCGTCCGTTCATTGTTCCGCCCACGCGGCGTGGCAGGTGATAAATAATGGATAAGAGAGATAAAACACTTGGCTGATAATGCGCGGTAATACATGCCCGCGAATTAACGGGATACGTATGCATGCAGATTATTCGGCACGCTTTCACCGAATCTCGGTCTCTCCTCGAGCCTTGGTCGCGGCCTTCCTTCGCCACGTTACACTTTCCGCCTTGCGCTATGCGCAGTTGGGAAGAAGACTCTCTGGACGACACTGGCACAGCAGAGATACAGCGGTACTTTAGCAGTGCATTGTTGGGGATGATATCTGGACGATTATGCGGGCAGGTGACTCTCCAGAATTCCAGTGACAAGAGAAGAAAGACAAATCTGCGGCTGTAAGAAGAAACACCATGTTTTAATTCCAGAATAATTTTTATATCGTTATTATATAAGCGATATATCGGAATCGACTGTCATCTAAGTTCCAATAACACAGAGGTACACTTTGCGTATTTTTGTGTGGTTTTTAAATACGGTATTTACGAGTACACACGCATTGACTTCGATTGAGAATACTTTTAGCAAGAAGAAGACTATTGACCTACGAAAACCGTTTTCCTGGCTTTGTAATTGTAAGACAACTATAATATATATATATTCTATAAATTATTCCCTATTCTATAGATATATATATTCTTTTATTACTGTTGGATGATTAACGATTCGTTGGCCCTTAGTCACTAGAAGGACCTGGCAGATAAACGCAGACCTATTTCAGTGTCCAAAAACAATTGACTTATACCCACTTTCACTAAGGGCCAATGGTCATCTTCACCGCCCCAAAAACTAATATTATATAAGCGAAAGCTCAGTTTTGAGGACAGTTTCAGCACAGTTTCAATACAGTTTTCAGTTCAGTTCAGTCAGTTCCAGTTTCAATTTCTGTTTTGCTTCTTCCTCTCCGCCGACTTGCATTTTTCCAACGTAGTCTTGTTGCTAGAACCCGTGTTGTATATTGAAATCCGGGTTCCAACATTACTCGAGGAATGTATATCCATCTTTGAGTGCTTCTCTAGAGCGACTGACCGACTCGTGAGTGTCAAGAGGGTACGTGACGCAGTTCGCCTGAAACCCCAATTCTTATCAAACGTTTATATAAACATTCGTTCTCGGAGTCTAGGCCTCATAAACTATTTATTCATACCTTGTATCCTAGATTGACTTTTGTATATAACTAGACCTATCTTTTCAACAAGGAACGTCTTCGACTGTGTGAAAGGAGACCCATTCCTTTCAGGGAACTTGCTTCCAACTCTGCTTTCAACATCTGCAAACAGACGAATAGGTAACATATACGTAAATCTAATTAGCTTTCGTAAGATTTCCAAGTTTCAACTCACGTGTGTGTTTTTCCTTCGGATAAAGAAAATGTTACGTTAGGTCAGGTGTAATAGCGTCCACGTCTAGTCGAATGCTTCGGGATTTATCACCTGGCTAGGGTCCCGCTATCTCTCTCGCTCCTCGTGCACCTGATTCCCCCTCTTCGTCATGCAATCCAAGTCGTACATGGTCGATAGTACGACACAGCCGAAAATATCTGTGCGACGGGCCTCTTCCACATTGTCCAATCAGACTCTTCCTTCCATGGAACATGTAACCTCGCTTTTAATCGATCGATGTCAGGATGTCTACTTCGCGATGACGTTTTGCAGCGTTGGAAAACCGCGAAGGCCGAAGACGCAGTGGATCTTCCATTACCAAACTCCACCAGACAGGTATCAGCCTCGATGATTAGCATTCAATGACGTGCCTAGCTATGAATAACCGGATTCATCGCGACGTTAGCCACGATCCTACGCAACCACCTCCAAGTGGACAGACCCTGTGGAAAATCCGGAACGCGTACCGATGACTAAGCCACCGTTTCGTGAGGAGGACCATGGGTACCATGAGGAATACAAACGACGTCATCCTATCATCAATCGACGCCGGATCCTATAATCGAGTGACTGGAAAAACCCTTTCATAATCCAATCTTGATTCGACACTGTCTCAATTCGATATTGGTCTAACCCTGATCAAATCCTGATCCAATCTTGACACATTTCTCGCCCAAATTCTGACTCAACTCTCACCCAATCCTGATCCATACTCTGTACCAATCAGAACCAAAGCCTGACGCAATTCTGAACCAATCTTTGTCTAATACTGCTCTAATCGTGGCCCTATTTTGATGCAATTTTGACACGAATGGGTCTCGAACTTGACCCACATTTCATGCAATTCTAACTCGAGTCTGGTTCGATTACAGGCCAATTACGGCTCGAACGTAATTCGAACTTGAATACATAGTATACATAGTATTACCCCTATTTTGATCCAACTCTATCGAGGATTTCGTATATCGAAGCACCGAATGGATCGATACGAGGGATCGAGATAGCCAGGTATGGACGTCGCGGGCTTTTTCCGCGCTAGCCAGCAAGCGAGAATCTCTGAACTCGATCTCCGCGTTACGATACACGCGATACAAGACACAGACAATCGTGATATAATCCTGACGTGAAGAGATTACTCGAAGCCATTATAATTTAAATCGCGTAAGACGGTATAGCGCGGGGAGCGATTTGCGAGCGTTTAGCGAGCAGTTCGAATCTAGAGCAGCGGCTGCATGACATAAGACGCTAGCACGAACACGAACAAGAATACAGAGATCGTCACGAAGGTGAGGCCGCGTGCGTGCGTGCCAGCCTCGCTAGAATCCACTCGCTTTTCCCCCGCGAGAGATTTCTCCGACCAAAGTTAGTCAAAGACCGTCCTCGACCGGACTCGATTCTTCTACCGGGTGACTCACGAGGAAACGTCGCGATCTCTTCGCTCTACTCTAAGCGTGTCCGGCATCCGATCTCGAACAGGACTTTCCACTCGTGAAACACGACTCCAACGCGAGTCCTGGTACCGTCTCGTCCTCGTAAATCGACACGGACCGCTCTCTCGGACCAGTGGGCCCTCTTCTTCCGCCATCGCAGAACTGTCATGCAGCGTGTCGTCACCCTGACCCACTGACACTTTCTCTCGAGTGGAACTTGGCCAGATTGGCAACCCCGGGGTATCTTCCCGTACGGGAGAAGAATTTCTACCGCGAGGTTGCACCAGAAGATTCAAAATTTCGCGGTTCGAGATGGACGAAGAGGATCGGAGAATCCGTCGCGAGGGAAAAAGACGCAAACTCGGAATTGCCACGAGGATTTCGCGAAACGAGGTCGCGTTCGAAGCCGCAATCTCTTCCTCTGCTCGATTATTCGCCAATGATCTCGTGCCGATTTTACGCGCGGATCGCGCGCTCTTCGAAAGCGGCGCGCGGAGCGATTGAACGCGCGCCGCGTCGCGATCCTCGAGGATCCACGATTCTCCGATTCATCGCCGTCGTATGTCGGTAACGAAATATTTCTTTCACCAGCGAGGAGCGCACGAACGGGATCGGAATTCCAAAGGAACTTAACGAGCTGTTACGTGGCATCGGCTGGCAATTCCGAGGCGTGTGCTCATCGCGGTGCAGCGTGAACAATTGTGTGTTAATTGGTTCGCAAAAGAAATAAAAAAAGAAGAAAGAGAGGAGTTGCTCGGTGGAGAAAGACGATTTCGCGATTGTCTCTGATCGTATCGTCGCCGTGTTTTGTAAGGTGAAACTGTTTCTAAAATTACATCGTCGTAACGACGCACGCAACATTTCGTTCGACCAGCGAGCCTCGATCGATGAGCGATGAAAATACGCGACAGCGGACGCTCGTTTACTTTCGATTTCTCCTCTTTGCCCGATTCGCCCTACGACTCTAGCCACACTCGCGGTCTAACGTTCGATCGGTGAGCAACGAGGAGACAGCGAGATCGCGAGGGAAACGCCGTTGAAAATTCCTCCGGGAAATCGAGCGCGAACACGGAACGATTCGAGGTGCTTAAAATGAAATCAAGAAACGCGCGACTTCCCTCCAAGATCGTGGACGAGTGTCGGAAAGAGGAAGAGGAGTCTCCCAACGACGAGTGAAAGAAATTTGTTCGATGGGATCAAACCCTTGGAGACTAGACCCAACCCACGAGCGAGACGCGATCTCCAAGGAAGCGACGATCAAAACACAGAAGGGGAACAGACGGCTAGTCTGTCCCACAGGACGTGGGCTTCCCCCGGAACGAGTTGTCGGCGCGTGTGGCGAATAGAAGGCGAGCAGAAGGCGAGTGTAAAGCGTCGATAGTGTCCAGCTCGTGTAGCAGCCTGTAGAATCGCGTGGCGGACCTGTAGCAAGGTGAGCGTGGAGAATTCTCCGGCTGGCCGGAGAGGAGGAATGAAAGGCAAGCGAGGCAACAACGCCAGCACCGGCAAGGAGGAGGTAGATCCCGCTCACCGGTGCACTTCACCTCCGGCCTCGGCACGGATCGCGAGCGAACCGACCAACGACGAACCAGTGAACCGAGTGAACCGATCCTCGCTTGCCATCCCGTTCGTGTTATTATCCCCTGCGTGTACGGTGCTCCACGACTTGTTCCTCTGTTCTTAACTCGCGCGGAAGATCGACTCATCGCCGATCGCGAGTTCGTTCGCGCCTCGTTTCGGACAGTGTGCGCGTTTCCACCGAGTGACAAGGTTCTCCGTGAGTGCGCGGTTGGTGCTTCGACGGCGTTTCCGTGGGACCGTGAAGAATGCGGTAGGATGCGTATCCAGGATAGATGCTTCCTGCGCGCGGTCGCAGGACTCTGCCTGCTAGGCGGGGTCATCGCGTTGTCGTCAGCCGTCGACGTCGAGACACCTGTACAAACAACCACGGGTGAGTTTCAATCGTTCTTTCCCTGTACTCACGGTTCTTCCCCGTCGCACTTCCTCGTTCTACCTCCCTCTTTGCTTTTCCATCGTCGTTTCTCCTTCGTCGATTCGTCGCGCGTTTTCTTCCTCGAGAAGGCCTCGATTTCTTCGCCAGTCGCACCGCCTGTTGCGCGAGGCTCGAGCGTTTTTCCAAGTGAAACCCGCGTCACGTTCCTCGACACGATGGGGAGTCAAGGTGCTCGGACGTGGTGAAGAGACGCGAGGAGAGTGCTCGTTTCCAGTTGAATATTCCACGAGGAATCGGATGCCGCGAAAACATAGTAGCGACGTTCGTTCGATCCCTGCTACTTAGTGTTGGAAAGTCGGCCTGACCTAGAAGCGGATAGAAAGAGACGAAAAGAAGGAGGTTCTTATGTAACGGAACGTTAGCACCCCGAAAGCAGACGCGAAACGCAACCGTACGAGTACAGCGTCGTCGATCGTCGTGCCGGTAACGGTATACCGCGTGAAACCGGCGAAAAATCCTGTCACGTCCTCGTTCGAAGACTGATGTCATCCTCGGGAATAAAATCGCCGATGAAGCGGCTATAGAATCGTTCCACGAACAGGCCCGATTCACCTGCTTTTCCTGCGAACGTGTTTTCCCAAGAGGGAAAACGGATTTCGCCGACCATGGAGGAAGATCGGGTACGAGAAGTCGGCCGGTGTCGTCCAGGTCGCCCACTAACACGAATAATCCGCCGGTTCACGAGCGGCGTCGATGGAAATCGAGTCATGCCGACTCGATTCGACATCCGGAACTACCTGGTCCGATCCACGATTCGATCTACAAAAATTCCTCGAGGAACAACGACGATCTCTTCGAGAAGACCCGAAGATCGAGCGGTTCTCTGTTAAAATCTCCGTTAAATTCGTTGCACGAATTCGTCGATTCGCGATATCGGCCGAGCAAAATGATCGGCGACGTTACGAAACGCGAAACCGGTTTGGATTTCTCTCTAATAAATCCGGAGCACGCGAATCGGGAAATAACCCCGTGAATAGTCAGAGGGTTCAGCTGTGTCGCGTTGATCGACCCGATTCGAGGCATAAGTACAGGAATCGAGAACAACGAGGTACCGAAAGTAGGATAAGGGGGTTGGAACGGCTGCGACGAAGGGACCAAAAGTGGCGCGCGTTAAATCGATCGTGCAGTCGCACGTGTCCCTCGTGGCAGCCCTGCTGGTCGACCGTGGAGGTAAACAGAGCAGAGGGGGCGTATGCCGCGAGGGGCAGAGTCGCGGGGCGCGTTAACGGTAGCGTTGGATCCAGTTGGCGAACTGGTCGACACGTATTCGCCGCAACGAACGGCCTTGGGAAAAAATCGAGTCGAGTCGATCTACGGTGGAGAACGAAGGAAGGCGAGTGGAACACGCGGTCGAATTACGCGCGGCGAAAGGCCGTCGAGAGGAGATCATGGCGAGAACCATCCGAGTCTTCGATCGTTCGATCATGCTGTGCGGCGACCGTCCAGATCCGAGATCGAGCGAATTCCTCGGCATATCGTTTCGCGCTGTCGGTCGAAGGAAATCCGCTCGTTCGAAGCTGTTGACTTTCCCAGTTATCGTTCCTCGGATCGCCACGGGCGATGCCTGTCACGCATACCGATCCAACCAGGCCCAGGCAGCGAGTAAGCAAGCGTGATTCGACCGAGCTACGCAGTCGAAAATAGTTAAGTTTCGTCGATAACGTAACGGGGTGACTAATCGTGCCACAGGGATTCGACGTCGAAGCATAGCCACGTCGAGAGACGTCTATTAACCTGAAACGAGAGTTGTCTGTGTTAACTCTGGCTCCTCTCGGATGGACCTCGTCTGATCCGATCCAAATGGAATTTCGTGTACCCACCTTTCTCCCGAGACCTCTTTCTGCCACTTCTCTTTCCTCATCAGCCACGTACTCATCTTTCGTGCTCTTCCTCCGTTTTCTCCAACGCGATCCTCTCGTTCGCTTCTGACTGTCTACGATCACACGATGGACGAGATTATCAGAGAAACAATGAGACGAATTTCACGCGGGATCTGGGTTATCCTGCTGCTGACTAACGAGGATCGTTCGAGCGTTCGTTCGCGACGAGGATTCTCGCGTCTGCGAGGAACGACGAAGCCGAATGGCGATTGAGTAATTCATCATGAGATACGAGCGCGTATCAACGTCGACTTTCGACACGCCGATTATCCGCGTCGTTTATTTGTCCGCGTCGAAATACCAGCGTGGTCGACTAGATCGATCGGGGCGACAAGGACGAAAACACGGTTGTCTGGTCTAAATCGCGGCCGCAACCGCACGCGTCCTGACCTGTAAAGCGAGATCGAAGGATTTTTAATCGTATCTGAAGCGGCGTAATCGCAGAAGTCTGTCCTTCGACTCGCTTGGAAAGGCGCGCTCGAGTCCTCTCGCACGTAGACGCGCGTTGCACCATCTTGGAAAAGTTCTCCGGACACGCGTCTGCTCTATCGAGGAGCGGCGAATCGAACGACGATTACGCCTCCGCGATACGTAGGATCCTTTTTCGAATCGCGTTACGCGAACGACTTTCTATTTCGTGTTCCGCGGTTGGTCCCACGCGAGGATCGTTCCTGTTTCACGCGTTCGCGCGTACAAACGATCGGACGAGGCGATCCGGTTTCTCGTTCCGAGCGATCCCCTCGATCGTTCGCAACGGTCACCGTTTTTCTCTCATCACCTCGTCCGAAGCGTTCGTATCCCGATTAGATCGGTCAACGAACAACCGGCTGTGTTTCGTTCTACTGTTTTTCCTGTACCGTTACTCGTTCGAAGAAACGATTTGTATTAATTTCTGCTCCAACTCCTCTCCAACTCCTCTCCAACTCCTCTCCAACTCCTCTACCGGCCGCTGCTCGCGTTTGACACCCGACCAATGATCCTCCTCGCGGGATAGTCCCGTCGAAGGCTGCTGCCTAGCAGAGAGAGGAGTGTATAAGTATCTGGTGTACCTGGTCAAACGGTCAAACTCGACATCAGGATCGGCGTTACAGCGTATTGAGAGAAGCATCGTCGAGAGGACACGATGAGCTTCGGGAATATCCCGGCTGATCGGCGAGATACTCGTTTCATAGACGCAACATCCAGCGCATACTGGTTATCTCGATTATCGTCGCGCGATAAATGTCACACGCGTCTAAGGTACGCGGCGAAGGAAGCAAGAGCTTGTTACGAAACGAGTACACCGGTAACCGCGGACTAATGAGGATCTCCAAAGTATCATAAGCGGTCGCTGTACCTGGCAGGAGAACCTGGTTAACGGTACCATAAATGTGCGAGCAAACGTTTCTCCTTTATATTCCTAACGCGAGCCTAGTCCTCTTGATATCTTTGTTACGGCTACAACCTCGCATTGCTGTATCTCTGTCATCTGCATAACCTGTTCATCGATGTTCGAGGAACAATGATCGTGGCGATTTCGAGCTTACGAAGTTCTGTTCTTCCTGCAACGAGATCGCTCCAACGTTTCCCCGTCTGTCGTCCTCTTTAGAATCTCGCGTGTTCCACAGGATAAGACAAGACCGACCGTTGTCCCTGGTAATTGCCGTAATTAAGCCTCCAGTCTCAGTGGTTGCCGCCTCATTGTTCCCCGACTGGTGACTTTCACTTAATGGTCACTGGACAACGATGTCCCTAGGGGCACGTTAATTAAGTTATCGGAGAACCGCCGCTCTATTTGCCAAAAGCGTTCAATTTTCCAACCTGCACGTCCGACTTTCCCTCGATCGGCTTTCTTGTCGCCTGATTCCAGAATACTGGGGAACAATGGGACGAGACGTACCGCTCGTCCGGCGAGAAAAAGAAGCGCAGCCGATGGAAACTGTCGTTCCACGACTCTCTTGGCGACTCTCACCCTGCCTTCTCCATTCGTTCCAACGAAGCCTCGTATGAACGGTGCACTGTCGATCAAAAGATTGGGATCATTGTTCCGTAGAAGGAAAAGATTTTAAGAAAAAGTTAGCTACAGACTTTGTTACCTTGGCACCTCTTTGCTGGAGATACTGTTGCAGCGAAAAGGATCGACGTTGATACCTGTAACATTAACTTTCAATTAATGCTAGAGCTAGCAGCTGATCGATATACACTGATAGATACACACTGTTCGTTCTTTCTCGTTATCGAAATACCTTGGTTTGTAGGTGTACTCATTGTAGACGATCAGTTGGTCCCCAAACACGAGTATCCGTATGATCCTGGCTTGAAAGATGACCATAGAAGAAATATCCAACGCTGTTTCGAAGCTTCGTGTCGGTGACTCGTTTTATCTCATCCAAAGTCATCCAAGCTCTGCTATCAGATAGCGACGTTTCTGTTGGCTCGATGTTAAATTCATAAGATGGTATTTCAACATGGTCGTGACAGATTTTATAGTGAACTCACTTTGAATCGATCTACGAAGCCTCTCGGTTCGTTTGAATGGCTATTATAAAATGACAAAGTTTCTGTTTAAGAGATCGCGACTACATACAGAGGATTAATTACATACGTTCGATGACGCTATTCTTGTTAGAGTCGCAGAAACAAATTTCTGACAGAAACGCGGTAAGCTAACGCGCGGAGACTTCGATGCTCGCGTAGGAACGATCGTTCGGCTACAAATCAGTTTACAGTTTACAACTTTAGGGGCCATTTTAATACAGAACTTACAAAACATCAATTTTTCACCATTTTCCCGAAGCAATCATTAACTTTACACCAAGTCACCTGTTGTTTATTCAATTTTGATCGTTTTTGTTTCGGAATAATGGCGAATATCTTAAAAATATGAATAAATACGTGCGCGTAAAATCGATGCAGAAATGTCTCGGAAATTTTTAGAAGGGGGGAAATGTAAGCGGAGGAATTTGTAAATAAATCGCAAAACGGAAAACAATGCTTCCCTCGTTGCGAAATTATGTTCTATTCCCGCGGATATTTATTCGAGCCCAAGTTTCAGAACGTCGAACGATTATACGGTCG